TACTTCATCTTGGGTGAACTCATACGGCCTGGCCCAATTGTTGTGTCGGATAGCCGAATGGCAGAGTAAAAGCAGTTCTTTGTAGGAGGTGAGACAGGTGAGATGCGTCGGCTGGTTGGGATTCCACGGGGGTCTGCTATAGGGACCTGGTTTGCAGCAGCAGGGACGTGTGCTGCGTCTGCTTCATGTCTACGCTGTGCCTCCTCCCTTGCCTTAGACACAACCTGATTACGCTCCACCTCAGACAGCAGGGTCTGCATAAGGACATTACAATCATCGCAGTCAGGCTTATAGCTAGCCAGGCACCCCTCAAAGACCGAGATAAACTTGCTTGGGTTCGTAGAAAATTCCCCTGCTTGTCCCTTAAAGGCTGCTAGGTCCACTGGGTTAAAAGGCACATGCATATAGACTTGCATAGTAGTGGCCGGGTGATCTTGTGATCCTGGGCGGGCTATCCGAGTCTCAGTAATCAACGGATAGAATCCCACCGAGGGGGCAATCTCTGGGACCTGAGACACCTTGTCTTTATAGGGTGGGGATGTTGGAGCCGAAGGGGACACCGACTCTGCCATCACAACAGGGGGAGGGTTCTGGGGACTAACAGTAGTTACTACCAAACCTGTTGGAGTCAAATTACACCTTTTGCAAAATATCTGTTCTATTTCATAAAGCCATAAACAATTGTGCATGCATATGTTCGTTCCATTTACCCGTTCGCTGACAAAACAGAAGTAATGGAAGGATCGTATTATAATTAAGTGATCCTTCTGGTGGCCACCTTTCCTGGTCCTCTAGCTGATATTGAGGCCAGTCTACTGTACAGAACCTTTTCAGTTTACTTTTAATCAACGGATCCGATCCAAACACTTTCCAGTTCACCAGAATGCATTCTAAGGGTGTACAGCTTGCCCTGCCTGCAGTACTCTGTCCCTGCCCCATACTCTAGGGAGAGACTGGGCATCCCCAGGTCAAAACAGGTAAAGTCCCCACTGGACTGTTCCTACTTTATCCAAGGGACTGATTCCTCACCGTTGCCCTCTCCACGGGACCGGTTCCTCACTGTCGCCCACAGCTGCTTCTCCACTGTACAAGCACGTTGTGCCCTCCGGGGTCGACCAAACCACGTCTCCGCCGAGGCCCCCGGTAAAGTCACCGGTGCGCGCTGGGCGTCGGGCGTCGCCGCAATCTGTCTACCTCCGAGAGGGGTCCAGGCAAGGCTAAATTTCAGCCTTGAGCCCCACGTTGGGCGCCAAGAACTGTTGCCGGCACAGAGTGCCCGAGGACAGCAACAGCGGGGTTTGTTGCCCGGTGTGCTTTGCGCCAATAAACACACCAGGGTGGAGAAGCAATCAAAGTTTATTTGAGATCTCAAAGTGGTGCAAGGAGACTGGCACATCTCAAATCAAGCACACCATCATAAGCAGTTTCTCTCTTCTTATACATTTTTGCAGCTAAGCCTCACCCCCCCACACCCCTCCCTTCCCTGGTAACAGTTACTAAGCAAATAGCAATTACATTTAAGCAGTTAAGTCATTCTTGGCAGCTATAAGTCTAGCTTGTTAGTAACTTCTTTAAACCGTTATCTTGTCCTTTTTCCCTTTGAACTGTTGTTTTCCCTTCAGCCAGAAACATGCAGGCCTCATTATTACCGCTTGGTGCCGGTATGAGCAGGGGGTTGCACACAGATAACTGGTTGCTTACACATTCCAATTGCACCTGGCTTGTGAGATCGATTAGAGTTTAAACATGGGAGAAGTTTGGTTCTTTTGGGCCTAGTGGAGGAAGGCTTCATTGAAACTAGTGGCCTTCCACCCCCTCCTCCTCCCGAGTTACCTAAGGTGATGCCTAGTGACACCAACACTATTACCGAGTGGTCCAGCTATATTCACCTCTTGGACCTGATCCTGTGCTCTACTTAGGACTAAATCAAGAATTGCCTCTCCTCTTGTGGGTTCCAGGACCAGCTGCTCCAAGAAGCAGTCATTTAAGGTGTCAAGAAACTTTATCTCAGCATCCCTTCCTGAGGTGATGGTGTACCCAGTCAATGTGGGGATAGCTGAAATCCCCCATTATTATTATTGAGTTTTTTATTTTAATAGCCTCTCTAATCTCCTTGAGCATTTCAGAGTCACTAACACCATCCTGGTCAGGTGGTCTGTAACATAGCCCTACTGCTATATTCTTATTTTTCAGACATGGAATTACTATCCATAGAGATTCTATAGTACAATTTAGTTAATTTAAGATTTTTACTTCATTTGATTCTACGCTTTCACATATAGTGCCACTCCCCCACCAGCACGACCTGTTCTGACCTTCCGATATATTTTGTACCCTGGTATTACTGTGTCCCATTGATTATCCTCATTCCACCAGGTTTCTGTCAATATCCTTATTTAATACTAGGCACTCTAGTTCACCCATCTTATTATTTAGACTTCTAGCATTGGAATATAAGCATTTTAAAAATTTGTCATTTTTTTGGCTGTCCCCTATTGCATGACATAATTGAATGGAACTTTTTTTTCACATATTTGTTTTGTTCCTCATTACCTCCCATCTATACAATGCTGATCCTACTCTTCCTCTTGTCTTGCAATCCCTCCTCTCCAACACACCAGTCATGGTACTCTCCCACTCTGGCCGGCGTTGCCACTCATCAGTAAGAAGACAGAATTACCTTTGTGTCAGCTCCAGAATCACCCAGTGTTCTCTCAAACAGCAAAGCCACCTTCTTCTCACACCCCACACAGAGCAAGCTCTCTGTTTACTACAGGGTGACATTCTGAAGATGACATTGGACTCCAGCAAGACTCTAATCAGCTAAGCTAACTGATACATAAGGTTGGCATTGTCAGACTCACCACTCTCCCACCTGTCATTGGTAAAGGCCCAGATTATGTGGTGCTTGAAACCCTGGGCATGAAGTTTTTTACTTTACAGTGCTCTGAGTGTGAATTTACTCCACCACGCTAATGACCAAATTGTGTCCCTCAGGCTCAGAGGAAGATAAGCCTATTCCAGTCTGTTTTAGAAAAACAGTGGTAGTAGTGATGACTCTTTATTAAATCGTTTAACTTTCCTATGCGATAGGAGACGCCGAGGAAATCACCCACTTATGAAACAGTGATCTGGATGAGCTCTTCTCTCCTGGGAGCTTCTGCAGTATAGCCTGTTACTGCCCATAATTATCACCCATCAGGGTATAGCCACATAACCTGTCTCCTTAGACATTCATAAAGCTACACAGTCCAAGGATGGTTTTTGTGAGTGCCAACCCTGCAGTCTCACCCAGAATGTGAAAATCAAGCTGAGTTCTTTCTGTAAAGATTCTGCAGTCAGGAATGAGTTAACAGTTAAGATAATGATACATAAGCTGGAACAGAGTCCAACTCAGTCTCCAAATATTGTTCTTGTAGTCCTGTAGAGCCAATACAACAAGTATAAAGGCTTATTATAGTAAATGGGGGTGGTGTTGGGGGGTTAATGAATGCAACTGTAATGACCGATACAAACAAATAGGCTTCCACACAGCTCAACTTCCAGTTTAGTTTCCGTTGTTTACCAGGGACCACCGCTTGTCTGGAGATCTATACAGCACACAGAGACATCTGAATAATATACTGCAAATAAATATATCGTCATGGTTGCTGCTAAAGATCAGGAGACCTGATTCTGAATGCTCTCAGGGAAGAGATCTCTTAGGTAAAAATGGCACCTTTTTACTCACTTTTCAGAGCAGAGCCACATTTTAACTCTCCAAATAGCAATAATGAACAAAAAGTCAATAGTGTGGTACATAACTGCCTAGTCCTTTTGTGTTAATGTCAGTTACTTCTTGCTTACGTACATGACATTCTTTGTCCTTCCAGCATATCAAGAGTGCAAACAAAAATTCACTCAGCTATTGTTCTTGCACCTGTACAATGGTTTTAATTTCTTGAAAATTAAATAAATTGCTTGGCTAGTGCTGTTAAATCTGTCTCCATCCTCTTGTTCCACTCACTCCTCCCTTGCAATGCAGAGTTGAAATCTAAAGCAATTTGGTTCAGGAAGCTTAAAATGTGTTACTGGTAATAAGGAAAAACAGTCTATAGGGAACTGTACTGGACCTCTCACTTGGAAGGTGGTGTGTGTGTGTGTACACATGCACAGTATCACAGTAGCAGTGCTATAGTCAAGTTGATGCCTTTATTTTTAGATCCTCATAACTTATTGGAAATTGTTTTCAATGGCAGCTGAAGTTTGTGTGTGTGTGTGTGTGTGTGTGTGTTTCTTTCAACAAAATTAACATTTTAGATTAAAATTCTATTTGGCAGCTTTTGAGTTCTCAGAACATGCAGGCTTGGAGATAAGAAGGAAAAGTGGCCCCTGTAAAGAAGGATTATTATCCCATTGTGTATGTGGGAAATTAAGGCACAGAGACTAAAGTGACTTGCCCATGGCAGAACCAGGAATTGCACCCAGCTCTCCTGGGTCGTAGCCCAGTGCCTTAAACAATATGCAGCCCTTCTTGAAAATTGCTCGGTTTGTTTAAATAAGAGCTTTGCTCCTTCCTGTACCATCTTCTCTTAGTTCGTGATCCCATCCTGTTGAATCTTTCCTGGCAACCAACTGTTGCCAATGGAGAATTGTGACTTCACTGCAAGACTGAGCAGAAGATGTGCACGTCTTTGTGTGAGGACATGGCAAGAGCCAGCCCCAACGCAGTCAGCAGCATTAGCTCTCTGATATCAGTTCAGCAGTGCCTGCGCCTTGTTTGTAGCTGGCAGCTCTTTGTGAGGCAATCAGAGGTATTGCCCTCTCTCCATCTGAGGCCTCTTCTCCTGCCTCCCCAGTGACCCCAGTCAGAGACATGAGAGGCTCTCAATACTGTGCTTCCCACCAAGGAGGCGTTATGTTACTAGGTAACCTGCAGTGAGTTGGCCTCTCTCTGAAGCCTGTGTGTGGTGGGTTGGAGCACGTGGGAACTGCAGTTAATTTTAATTTAACTGTTTCAGCTTCCTCCACCGCAGCTGTTGGACCCTGGCCGGGAGAGCTTTGGGAAGATGGAGAACCGGAGGGGAGAGCTCCTGGATGCCCTCTGGGAGGAAGAGGAAGAGGATGGGGTGGCTGCCAGTGCCTCCTCCAGCCTCCGCCTGAGCGAAGCAGGGGACGTGCAGGTGGAGATGCTGGAAAAGGCCAGGGAGCTCTTTCAGTTGTGTGACAAGGAGGAGAAGGGCTTCATCACCAAGCTGGACATGCAGGTAAGGAGAAGAATCCCTCCTGCTCTGCTTCCGGGCAGGAAGCTATGGAACCAGGTGTGCCAGAAGGCTGCACTCAAGGGGGACTGCTTTACCACACACTGCTGGGTGCTCTTGGTCAGGCCACGTATAACCTCTGTTGTCTCATGGCCCCTCTCAGGTGGACTGCACCAGTAGCCCACTGGAAAACAGAGAGAACTGAAGCAGAGTGATTTTTTTTTTTAAACAACATTTTGATGGAAATTTCTAATTTTGGGGTGGAGAAGGAGGAAAGTTGTCAGAATTTTCCCAAAAACTCACCCCCTTTACCATCACCACTACCCCGGCCTACTCTAGAGTGCGGGGCGGGGGAAGGGGATTTATTTTACAAAAATATTGTCCCACCTCCCCACCATGGCCCCCATAACAGGCCACATTGCATGATTTTTCTCACCTTGGTTGTACCTATAATGTCTGTGGATGGTCTCTCTCCTTTAAAAACGACTAACTCCAGGACTGAATTATGATTGTGATCTGGAGAGAGGCATCTCTCTGCTGTCTATTTTGAGTTAAAATCTTGGGGTTTTACAGCTGTATCAAAAGCAGGATAATTCCCTTTAGTGTACATATCGGGACGGTCACACTGGGATTCTGTTCTGTCCCAGCTCTTTCTGAACAATTAAGATTACCGGCATATACTATGTTTAATAAACAAGAGTTGTTGAGTCATTTTGTATTGGGTTGTGCAATGCTTAGTTTCATGTGCTTTTAAGAAGAGGTTTTATTAAACTTAAGCCAGAGCTGTATGTTTAACAAGCACTATTAGGATCTCTGCTGTGGTTTTCGCTATGTGTATTATGGTAACTCCGAGGAGGCCCAGCTGAGATCATGGCCCATTGTGCTGGGAGCTGAACATACACATAGTAAGAGATTAGTCCCTGCCCTGAAGAGTTAATCTTCTTTCTCCCACCCTTTGTCTATTTAGATTTATATCATTCTCCTTTTACAAATGGGGAACTGAGGCACAAAGATGAAAGAAATGACTTGCCCAAGGCCACACAAGACGTTTGTGGCAGAGCAGGGAGTTCAACCCAGATCATCTTCTGAATCCCACTTCCCATGACCATGTGTCCTCTTTGATAGGAGTAGCATGGGTGAGGGCGCTGGTACCCATAATACCACATTGTTATGCCATAAGCAGTACTTCTAACTGGCCACAAAGAGCTGTTGATGCTCTGAGAGAGCCATAGCCAGCCCTCTTCAGTCAGAATGACAGGAAAAACCCAGTAGATAGGACAACTAAAAACATAACAGGTGGTACTGGAAGAAGTTGGGGATAAGGGCCAATCCTGGAAGAAACCTGTAGAAAGCAAAATGTCCTCTGCACAGTCCTGCCCATTAATCCAGTTCCCTGTGCTGATGGGATTCCAAATTACTTCATACTGGCTCAGTGGCATTGCCTTAACAGTTGTAGCATCTCACTCCCAGTAGGGTGGGTGTGAGGGCACTGATCCAAGCCCACTGAGAGTCATTGGAAAGACTTGAGTTGGGCTGTAGGTGGGTCCAGAGTTTGGTATTTATTTTGTTCCTCCTCCTGTTTGTCCAGCGGCTGCAGAGCGAACTGCCCCTGACCCCAGAACAGCTGGAGGCTGTCTTTGAAAGCCTGGAGCAGGACAATAATGGGTATCTGACACCTGTCGAGTTCAGCATGGGACTAGGTAAGAGCAGCAGATACACGTGGGTAATGCAGTGTGTATGTGTTGAAACATATATAGGAGAGAGGGAACAGAGCTCATTGGCTCTAAATATTCACCTGCCAACTGCCTGCAACCAGTTAGCCCAACCCTCCTTGTTTCTTCTCCACCCTATACGAATATTAACCTTACTCGTGTGTGTGTATATATCATAACCCTGAGATGTCTCCCAACCCTCCTAAGCATTCCTGTCATTCCAGTCCTGTAGAACATTCCTTTTATCAGCTTCTGCAGTACTTCCGCATAACTGCTAGCCACATCTCTAAACCTCTCTGATAGGAGACAGTTGGTGGGGATAACTGGCCACATGCCATGCCTGGGCTTCTCTCTGGTGTTCACAGCAGGCAGAAAATCCCAGGTCAACCGGCTGCATAAGGAACATTATTTTATGAGGGGACAAAATCTGCACCTTGGAAATCAGCTCCATGCATAGATTTCAAGGCCAGAGGGGACCATTGTGATCATCTGATCTGACCATCTGTGTAACATAGGCCATAGGACTTCCCCACAATAATTCCTAGAGAGCATCTTTTAGACAAGCATCCAACCTTGATTTAAAAAAATGGCCAGTGTTGGCGAATCCGTCACCATTCTTGGTAAGTTGTTCCCATGGTTAATTACCCTCACTAGTAGAGATTTTTGCCTTTATGGATTTATATGATGCAGCACTTCAGCTGTCCTGTGTGCTGATGGAAGTGCTGTTGGTTTGATAATACAGTGAAGAGAAATGAAGCCCTGCTTTCCTGTTGGTTACAGTACTCTATTAGCCACTAGAAAATGCTGGTACTGTAAACAGGTCCACAGTAGCAGCTGCTGATGCAGCTCAAGACACAATTGATGAGGGAGAGGAATGTTTATAACAAAATGACCTCCATGACCTCCACTCCATTCCTCCAGCTGGTCATGAAGTCTTAGAAATACACTCTGTTGGCTTTGATTGTTTAAATAAGAGGCATCTCTGTGTGTGTTGGGTTGTGTGGCTAGGCTACATGGACAGTTTAATGTCTCTCTGGCTCAGAGCAGAGAGATAATGTATGAATCAGGGCCGAGATTTTCCAAAAGTGACTTGGAATTTGGGATACTTCAACTTGAGACAAAAACAACAAATAAATAAAAATAGTATGAAATAAAAGTACTAATAAATAAAAACAAAAAACAGCAAGAGGATCAAAACATGCTACTATAGCTAAACAATGGTGTAAAAGAGGCAGATCGGCTCAAAAAGACATCCTTTAAAAACAAAGTCAAATCCTGGTGAGAAAAATGGAAAGGAGCATAAACTCTAGCAAGTAAAGTATAATTAGGCAGGCCAGAAAAGAATTTGAAGAGCAACTAGCAAAAGAGACACAGACTAACAGCAAAAGCATTTTTTTTAAATACATCAAAAGGAGGAAGCCTTCCAAATAATTAATGGGCCACTGGACAATAGCAGTGCTAAAAGAGCACTTGGGGAAGAGAAGGCTGTTGTGGAGAAGCAAAATGAATTTTTTTGCATTGGTCTTCACTGTAGAGGATGTGAGGGAGATTCCCACATCTGAGCCATTCTTTTTAGGTCACAAATCTGAGGAACTGTCCCAGATTGAGAAGTCAGTAGATGAGGCTTGGAACAAATTGATAAATTAAACAATAATAAGTCAGCAGGACTAAATGGTATTCACCCAAGAGTTCTGAAGAAACTCAAATATGAAACTGCAGAACTATTAACTGTGGTATGTAACCTATTACTTAAATCAGCTTCTGTACCAGATGACTGGAGAATAGCTAATGTGACATGGTATTTTTTTTTTTTAAAAGGCTCCAAAAGTGATCCTGGCAATTGCAGGCTGGTAAGCCTAATTTCAGTACCAGGCAAATTGATTTATCTGTTCTTTCAACCAGACATGTAGATGAACATGTTGGGGGAGAGTCAACACAGCTCTTGTAAAGGGAAATCATACCTCACCAATCTATTAGAATTCTTTGAGGGTACCATCAAGCATGTGGACAATGGTGATCCGGTTAATACAGTTTACTTGAACTTTCTGAAAGTCTTTGACAAGGTCCCACACCAAAGTCTCTTAAGTAAAGAAAGCAGTATTGGGATAAGAGGGAATGTCCTGTCATGGATCAGTAACTGCTGAAAAAAACAAGCAACAAAGGGTAGGGATAAATGATCAGTTTTCACATTGGAGAGAGATAAATAGGAGGGTCCCCAAGGATCTGTACTGGGACCTGTGCTGTTTAACATATTCATAAATGATCTGGAAAAGGGGGTAAACAGTGGGGTGACAATGTTTCCAGAGGATACAAACTTACTCAAGGTAGTTAAGACCAAAGCTGACTGAAGAGCTACAAAGGTATCTCACAAAACTGGCTGACTGAGCAACAAAATGGCAGATGAAATTGATAAATGCAAAGTAATGCACATTGGAAAACATAATCCCAATTATACATACAAAATGATGGGATCTAAATTAGTTGTTACCGCTGAAGGAAGAGATCTTGGTGTCACCGTGGTTAGTTTTCTGAAAACATCTGTTCAATATGCAGCAGCACCCAAAAAAGCTAGCAATATTCAGAACCGTTAGGACAGGGATAGATAAGACGGAAAAAAAAATCATAATGCCAGTATCTAAATCCATGGGACAACCACACTTTTAATACTGCATGTAGTTCTGGTCACCCCATCTCAGAAAAGATATATTAGAATTGGAGAAAGTACAGAGAAAGGCACCAAAAACGATTAGGGGTCTGGAACAGCTACTGTATGAGGAGAGATTAAAACAACTGGGACTGTTTAGTTTAGAAAAGAGATGACTAAAGGGGGATATGATAGATGTCTAAAAAAATCATGAATGGTATGGAGAAAGTGAATACGGAAGTGTTGTTATTTACTCCTTCACATAATACAAGAACCAATCACCCAATGAAATTAATAGACAGCAGGTTTAAAACAAACAAAAGGAAGTACTTCTTCACACAACGCACAGTCAACTTGTGGAAATCGTTGCCAGTGGATGTTGTGAAGGCCAAAACTATAATGGGGTTCAAAAAAGAATTAGATAAGTTCATGGAGGATAGGTCCATCAATTGCTATTTGCCAAAATGGTCAGGGATGCAGCCCCATGCTCTGAGTGTCCCTAAGCCTTTGATTGCCAGAAGCTGGGACTGGATAACAGGGGATAGATCACTCACTAATTGCCCTGTTCTGGTCATTACCTCTGAAGCATTTGACACTGGCCACTGTCAGAAGACAGGATACTGGGCTAGGTGAACCATTGTCTGACCCAATGTGGCCATTCTTATGTTCTTATAAGATACTCTAAAGGTCCTGGTTTTAAGAGGGCGGATACTCAGTGCTTTCCCTTGTCTCAAGTTGGGCATCCAAAAATGGAGCACTCAGAATTGGTAACCACTTATGAAAATCTTGGCCCAAGTGTATGTGTTACCATCTCCTTAATCTAAAGGAGACCTTTCTCTCAAGACAAGGTCATGTTGATTCTACGAGCCCACTTACGCCATCAAAATTAACACAGACAGTGAGCCTGATTTATTGCTCTGTTACTCTAGTTTTACTTGAGTCTGACCTATGGGGGGATGGATAGCTCAGTAGTTTAAGCTTTGGCCTGCTAAATCCAGGGTTGTGAGTTCAATCCCTGAGGGGGCCATTTAGGGAACTGGGGTAAAAATCTGTCTGGGGATTGGTCCTGCTTTGAGCAGAGGGTTGGACTACATGACCTCCTGATGTCCCTTCCAACCCTGATATTCTATGATTGAAACTGGAGTGGCTTGGTGGTTAATCAGGCCCTGCCTCTTTAAGAGGAATTCCGAATTCCCATTCAGGGGATTTTAAGAGACACCTCAAGGAATAGACCTGGACAGCAGGAAGAGCCTCTGATATAGAGTGTTTGGCACTAACCGAGCTGGGTTTTGGTTTATAAAAAACTGCAGAAACACACAAGTATATTTACAAATGTCTAACCTGACCTAGCTTCTGTGTGTCCTGGTACTTCCTGTATTCTGCGTCTTTCGATTTTAAGCTCTCTGGTTCAGGGACTCTTTATATGAGTAACTGGCATGTGGCAAATGGTTGGCCAGATAACAATAATGGGAGATAAGCAGTGCTAGGTACTCTGCTCTCCAGCATTGCTCGTAGGTTTATGGGTTAATTTGATCAGGCAGGAATAGCAGCAGGCCTGCCTTCCATACCGGACTTGGCACTGTATGCTGGCATCAAGCCTGTAGGGTTACAGCAGTCACTTCAAGCGCAGAGAGTTAAACTGCTGCTACTACAGAAGGATACGCTTTTATTACAGTGCAACTCACCTATTTCCTGGGCATGTTCCACATGTCAGAGAATGGCAACTGCCCAAACATGTTTATGGTCTTCCACTGATCAGAGAATTGAGACTGAAGTTTTCATAGTATGAATTGGCAGAGAGCGCTGACCAAGGCTATTAGGGGCAGGCCGAGAGGAATGACAGGATCTCATTCAAAATAAAACAAAACACCATGCTTTACTGTAGTGTGTCTCATACAAATGACATACCAAAACACTGTCTGTAGGTAATGGAAAGGATGCAGTAGACATGTGGTCTGAGCATGCAGCTTGGAGCCAGGAAGGATCAAGTTAAGATTCTACTCTGCTATTGACTTGAGGCACAGAGGGGTTAGGTCAGAGGTGGGCAAAGTACGGCCCGCAGGGACCATCCTGCCCAGCCCCCGAGCTAGTCCCAGTCCCTCCCCCGCAGCCTCAGCTCGCTCCCTCGCCAGAGCAATGCTCTGGGCGGCGGGGCTGTGAGCTCCTGGGGCAGCGCAGCTACAGAGCCCATCCTGACCTGGTCTCTGTGCTGTGCGGTGGTGGTGGCGGTGGCAGCGGCATGGCCCAACTCCAGCCGGGCAGCGTGGCTGTAGCACCGCCAGCCACCAGTGCTCCAGGCAGCACAGTAAGGGGGCACGGAGCAGGGGGGTTTGGATAGAGGGCAGGGGATTTCGGGGGGGTGGTCAGGGGGCAGGGGTGTGGATAGGGGGGCGGGGCGGTCGGAAGGCAGGGGAACAGCAGAGTTGAATGGGGGCAGAGGTCCTGGGGGGCAGTCAGGAAGGAGGGGGGGTTGGATGGGGTGGTAGGGATCCCGGGGGGGGGGCATCAGGAATGAGAGGAGGGGTTGGATGAGGCAGCAGGGATCCAGGGGCAGTTAGGACAGGGAACGGGGGGGGGGGGGTGGATGGGGTAGGGAGTTCCAGGGGGGCCCCGTCAGGAGGTGGGGGCCGGGCCACAACCCCCTCCCCAACTGGTCCTCCATACAATTTACGAAACCCGATGCGTCCCTCAGGCCAAAAAGTTTGCCCACTCCTGGGTTAGGTGGTTTCCCCAGAGTCATAACTATATTTCAGGGATTAGAACCCAGAAGTTCCTGGCTCAGGAAACTAGACACTGCCTCCCTGTGCCTCTGCTTGCTTATCTTTAAGTCCAGACTGGATGTCTTTTTAAAAGCTAGAATCATGGAAATGCAGGGCTGGAAGGGACCTAGAGAAGTCATCTAGTCCATCCCCCTGTGCTGAGGCAGGACCAAGTAAACCTACACCAGCCCTGAGCAGTGTTTGTCTAACCTGTTCTTAAAAAACTTCCAATGATGGGGAATTCACAATCTCCTTGGAAGCCAATTCCCTGAGCTTTAACTTCCCTTATATCAAGAAGTGTTTCCTAATATCTAACCGAAATCTCCCTTGCTACAGAGAAAAATTGATCACCGTCCTCTTTATAATAGCACTTAACATATTTGAAGACTGTTATTAGGTTCCCCTCACCCCAGCCATCTTTTCGCAAGACTAAACATGTCCAGTTTTGACTTTTTTCATAAGTCAGGTTTTCTAAACTTTTTATCATTTTTGTTGTCCTGTGGACTTCCTCCAATTTGTCCACATCTTTCCTGAAGTGCAATGCCCGGAACTGGACACAGTGTTCCAGCTGAGGCTTCACCAGTGCTGAATAGAGTGGAATAATCATCTTCCGTGTTTTACATACAACACTCCCATTAATACACCCCAGAATGATATTAGCCAACTGCATTACCTTGTTAACCCATAGTCAATCTTGATCCATTATAACCTCAAGATCCTTTTCAGCACCACCTGGCCAATTATTCCCCATTATGTTGCTGTGCATTTGATTTTTTCCTTCCTAAGTGAAGTACTTTGCATTTATCTTTACTGAATTTCATCTTGGTGAATTCAAACCAATTGTCAAGGTCTTGCCAAGGTGTCAAGGTTGTTTTGAATTCTAATTCTGTTCTACAAAATGCTTGCAACCCCTCCCAGCTTGGTGTCATCTGCAAATTTTATAAGCATACTTTCCACTCTGGTATCCAAGTCATTATTGACTAGTACTGGACTCAGGACTGACTCCTGCGGATCCCTTCTAGATATGCCATCCCAGTTTGACAGGGACCCATTGATGACTACTCTGAGTATGGTTTTTCAACCATTTGTGTATCCACCTTATATTAATTTAATCTAGACTGTGTTTCCCTAGTTTGCTTATGAGAATGTCATGTGGGACTGAGGGCTTGTCTTCATTATGGGGGTAAATTGACCTATGTTATTCACATAGCTGTAGTAGTGTAACATAACTGAAGTCGACGTAGCTTAGGTCGATTTACTGCAGTGTCTTCACTGCGCTGCATCGACAGGAGATGCTTTCCTGTCAACTTCCCTTACTCCTCTCGGGGAGGTGGAGTACCAGGTCAACCGGAGAGCGCTCTGCCGTTGATTTAGCGGGCCTTCACTAGACCCGCTAAATTGACACTTGCTGCATTGATTGCAGCAGCCTTGATCTGTGAAGACAAGCCTTGAGTCAAAAGGCTTACTAAAATCAAGGTATATCCTGTCTTCTGCTTCTCCCCCATCCACCAGGCCAGTAAAAGGAAATCAGGTTGGTTTGGCATGATTTGTTCTTGACAAATCCATGCTGACTATTCCTTACAACTTTATTATCCTCTAGGTGCTTATAAATTGAGTGTTTAATCATTTGTTCCAGTATCTTTGCAGGTACTGAAGTAACACTATAACTCCAACATAAGTGATGGGCTTGATGCAGGAATCACTGCGTGAGGTCTTCCAGCCTATGCTATACAAGAGGCCAGATTAGATTATCATAATGGTCCCTTTTGGCATTAAAATCTTGGGGGTTTTTTTCTAGAGAGAGCTACTTGATGTATTCCTTTAGGAAGAATTTCCTCCCCACTCTTTTCCATCTCAACTCCCAATATTTGCCACCCTCCTAGTGTAGCGCTCTGGATGAACTGAGACCTGAGGAGGAGGGGGCCTTGTTCAGAGAGCTGTCCCCGTTTTGTTCAGCATAGTACTTGGGGAGATGAGCTAGGTGAGAGGAGAATTACTAATATTATGGTAGAACCCCTAGAGGTCCCAAGTGAGATCGGAGAGACTCTGTGCTAGGCACTGTATAAACACATAGCGAGAGACAGGCCCTGCCTCAAAGAGCTTTCAATCTAAACAGTCAAGGTAGACACAGGGCAGGAGAGAGGAAGGATTTTTATCTCCATTTTACAGACCGGGAAATGGAGGCACAGAACAATTCAGTGACTTGCCTGAGATCACATAAGGAGCTTGTGCCAAAGCTGGGACTTGAACCCCCAGCACCAGTCTACTGCCTTAAGTGCAGACCCATCCTTCCATTCTTATCATGCCTGAACTGTGATGTAATGAACTGAACTCTAAACGCACATCAGCTGAAAGTCCTGAGTTCCTGAACCTCCAGTAGGGGGGTGCTTCAGCTCTGACTGGATACTGGACCGATTTCGTCCCGTTGATAATGATACGGGAAGAGGCTCTCTGTTTGCTGTCTGAGGTCAGTGTTTAATAGGCACCATTGGATTTGGCCATATCTAATGAAGCTGGTTCAGGCTGCCCCTCAAAGAGCTTTTCTAGTGCTAAATATAATGTGACTTTCTGCTCCCTCTTCCCTCCTCCCCCTTCCTGCAGGGAAGTTCATAGGGATTGAGCTGTACCAAGGGTCTGGGAGCACAGATCACTTCAGACATGAGGAGACCTTTGAGTCAGGCTGGTCAGATGATTTGGACCAGACAGACGACGAAGAGGAGAAGCGATTTTATTCAATGATGGAGCAGCTCGGAGTAGCCCAGGTCTTTGAAGAGTAAGTCTCAAATCCTGTCCTGGTCTGATCTTACGGTGAAGCACAGATTGAGAGAAGTTGACCTGGCACTGCTGGTTATCTTCAAGAACATGCTTTCAAAAGTGTTGCCTTGGCATTTTGTATTCCAACCTTGTGTCAAGTTCATGTGCTGCATTAGAAATGCCAGGGAGTCTGGGATATCTAGCCTGAATACTCACCAGTGGCCTTTAATGCAGCACTTTCCCCAAAGAACTTTGCAGGTTATAGACTCATGTTTCAGCTATGAAATATCGCTGTCGTCAGGATGGCAACTAATTGGTGCACAGTACACAGCACAACCATGGGCATGGGGAGGATTTAGGCAAAGAGATGAGTTTTGTCTTTCCAAAAGAACCATGAAGTCTTCAACAGCCATGCAGAGGACCTTAGTCTTTAAGGTCTTATTTGTAGATCACTGCACAATGCACTGCCTGGAGCTTAACTGATCCATCTAAAAAGATGAGGGAGTAAATTGACCCTGTTGGGACTTGAATCTGAACACCCAGAGAACCTGGGTAATTCAGATCTGATGCATACGTCATTAGCCATCCCCTCAGATGGAGCATTCACCCCAGGGCAGATCATTCTTTTAAATAAACGGCTACACATTCCTCAGCCGGTAGGATTTTTTTCCCTCCTCATTTTCAGGATTCTCTTTTAAATATGAATAGGAGTGGGTTGGGCTGGGTCCTAGGCCAGGCTGCTGCTCCAAAGAGCAGGGCACAGTGGACATACATGCACAGCTCAAATGTGACTCGTATGATTGGATACATCATGAACCATGATAGGTAGAAAAAGCTGCCATACATCAGTCAAAAGCTGGAGTGTCCAACTTTCTAATGATGTAGATCAGTCTCTACCCTCGTTGGTTCATCTGAGATGTTCCTTGAAATTGTCACTGATCTACCAGCCCAGGCAAAAGTTTATTTGGCCCAGAGAAATAGTTTTTAAAATTAAACATTTGCCCTAAACCCCACCAGAACTGACCACCTTGCCTAAAAAATATAACTTCTTCACTAGACTAAGGTGGAATGGTCTTTGGTTACCGTCCAAAGGAATTTAGATGTACCATGCAGCAAGCATCCCCATGGACAACCTTGCCTGATTTAAGAGAAGAGGTTATAAACAGGCAACGTTCCAAAAAGATAGTAAATGCCATAAAATGCTGGAGTGAATAAAATGATACCGGCTTCATTCCTATCTTATTTCTTTTGAAATCTGACAGCTTCTTTAAGACTAGACTTGTATATCTGTCTAAGCACCACTTAGTCACTTGCAACAGGGTAAATGTGTCCCCAGTATGTGAAATTGATAATATCATTGCTCCTTCTTCTGAGATCAGTGTTGCCCCTCTGCCTGGCAGTAGCAGAATTCCAAGGCCTTGCTGGGTGTTTTCCAGTGAAGGGGAAATCAGTGAGGTAGAGTCTGGGTATACCCAAAGTGTCACTTGTTTTATTTATGCACATATATCAATTCAGAAAGAGAGATCAAACAGCATGCAGGGAAATCCCTTCTTTTAAGACTCTCTGCCAACACCAATGACCAGTTCCCAGGGAGCAACTCTAACTCAAGAACTGACTCCAGTGAGATACCAAGGCAGAGAGCAAACTCTTGCTGCTCACAAAATTTCCTCTTTGGAGCCTTGCATAACAAAACTAACCATGTCGCAAGCATTTCTTTTAAGACTAAAAACTTGCTCACACACTAAGAAAAAGAACTGGGAAACTGATCTGAAACAGCACTACCTGCTCACTTTTACCATAATGATATTACCATCCCAGTTAAACAGAGCCATTTACCTCTGTCCCCTGTGACAAAGTTCCTCCTCTATCTTGGTGGGTCCTGCACTTATTGGCGGATTTTCTTGCCTCAGAGATTCACCATGTGGATTGGGGAAGAGCCCAGAGACCTTCCCCTCTGGGAGAACCCACAGTCCAGGTCAATTGGGAGGTTTGGGGGGAACCCGGGCCCGCCCTCTACTCCGGGTTCCAGCCCAGGGCCCTGTGGACTGCAGTTGTCTATAGTGCCTCCTGTAACAGCTGCATGACAGCTACAACTCCCTGGGCTACTTCCCCGTGGCCTCCTCCCAACACCTTCCTTATTCTCACCACAGGACCTTCCTCCTGGTGTCTGATAACACTTGGGCTCCTCAGTCCTCCAGCAGCACACCCTCTCACTCTCAGCTCCTTGCGCCTCTTGCTCCCAGCTCCTCACACTCACCCCACAAACTGGGGTGAGCTCCTTTTTAAAACCCAGGTGCCCTGATTAGCCTGCCTTAATTGATTCTAGAAGCTGCTTCTTAATTGGCTACAGGTGTCCTAATTATCCAGCCTGCCTGAACTGGTTCTAGCAGGTTCCTGATTACTCTAGTGCAGCCCCTGCTCTGGTCACTCACGGAACAGAAAACTACTCATCCAGTGACCAGTATATTTGCCCTCTACCAGACTCCTGTACCCCACTGGTCTAGGTCTGTCACACCTCCAAGAAATATCCCAGTAAAAGAGTTGTCCCAGTTAAATGGAATATTTTGCATGGTATTGTCCACTAGATGGAGTCTGTTCAGCAGAAACATATAGTGAAATTAATGTTAAGATTGAATTTGTGTCAGTCAAACTAGCATTTTAAAAAGATGAATTCAAAGCTGAGCTAGTTGAGAACTGTAGGGAAAAGGGGAAATCACAAAGTGTTGATATTTTTGTTTCAGAGAGTTCAAAATGGACATGTTTTGTTTACTAAAATCTGGGGTTTTGGTCAATTAAAAATATTGATAATCATATTTCAGGTCATGAAAAATGAAAAAAGTCAATGACAACATTTATGCAAAAAAACTGTTGGAAAAAAGACCATTTTTTTAGGAGAAAAATCTCTGAAAAATGTTGATCAGCTCAAATATAAAAGCTTTCGGGGGCAGGGGAGGTAACTTTTGGGGGAGGGATAGCTCAGTGGTTTGAGCATTGGCCTGCTAAATCCAGGGTTGTGAGTTCAATCCCCGAGGGGGCCATTTAGGGATCTGGGGCAAAAAATCTGTCTGGGGATTGGTCCTGCTTTGAACAGGGGGTTGGACTAGATGATCTCCTGAGGTTCTTTCCAACCCTGATATTCTATGATTCAATTAAATGTGTTCTGTAGGCACTTAGTGGGTTTGGTACACACATCCTGTTTGACTGTTCATGGGGTCTGTTCTTAAAACCCTTGGGTATTTTTGAACACTGCTCCCTTAATTTCCTGTTTTTTGTCATGAGACCTGGGTTCAATTCCCAGCTCTACTTTGCTGGGTGACTTTTGGCAAGTTTCTTCCCTACCCGTGCCTCAGTTTCTCCATCTGTAAAATGGGGAGAATGATACTGATCTGCTTTATGAAGTGCTTTTGGGGCCACTGATGAAAAGTGCTATAGAAGAGCTAGGTCTTATTATTTTAAAGTGAGAGTGCTAAGACTTAGTCTACGTTTTTTGGTCTGTTTTTGGGTACGTTTTCACTACCCGCCGTATTGGCGGGTAGCAATCGATTTATCCGGGATCGATATATCGCGTCTCGTTAAGACACGATATATCGATTCCCCGAACGCGCTCACTGTCGACTCCGGAACTCCACCAGAGCGAGCGGCGATAGCGCAGTCGATGGGGGAGCCGCAGCCATCGATCCCGCACCGTCTGGACCCCAGGTAATTCAATCCAAGATACTTCGACTTCAGCTACGCTATTCATGTAGCTGAAGTTGCGTATCTTGGATCGATTTCCCCCCCCCCCAGTGTAGACCAGCCCTTATTATTTGTACTGCATTAGGGCATCAGGCTTGGACCAGGACCCCTTTGTGCCTAGGCACTGTACAAGCGCAGACCAAAAGGACAGTCCCTGCCCCAAAGACGTTTTCTCAGAAATAGGGCACAGAAGTAATTTCTGCCCCTCCCTACCTCTTGGTGAGCAGCATTTCATAGAATCATAGGATATCAGGGTTGGAAGGGACCTCAGGAGGTCATCTAGTCCAACCCCCTGCTCAAAGCAGGACCAATCCCCAACTAAATCATCCCAGCCAGGGCTTTGTCAAGCCTGACCTTAAAAACCTCTAAGGAAGGAGATTCCACCACCTCCCTAGGTAACCCATTCCAGTGCTTCACCACCCGCCTAGTGAAAAAGTTTTTCCTAATTTCCAAAATAAACCTCCCCCACTTCAACTTGAGACCGTTACTTGAGACCATTTTAAGATGCCTGTTTCATTTTGAGAAGGGCTGTGGGTTTAGGAGGGATTATCCCATTCCCACAGGACTCTGGAGCCCTCTTCCATCTTTTCCCCATCACGCACAAAGAAACAGTAAGTTAAGATGTCTGGTTCTAGCGGTGAAAAATAATAATAAATCCTAGCTGTTATATTGTGCTTTTCATCAGTAGATCTCAAAGCGCTTTACAAAGGAAGTCAGCATCATTATTCCCCTTTTACAGATGAAGGATACTGAAATACAGAGCGTTGAAGAGACTTCCCCAAGGTCACCTAAGAGAGTGGCAGAGGCAGGAATAGAACCAGGTCTTCTGAGTCCCAATCCAGTGCTCTCTCTGCGAGTCCACACTGCTCTAAAGAGACACCACAGATTGAATTCTTGGGTCATTTTGAGAGGGGGTGTTTCATCTCAGGTTTTTGTTAAAAGTAGCGTAAAGGGACTGGAAGGCATGACTCCTACATCTGACACTAGCATGGCATGGGACTTTGTTCAAGGTACTTCACCTCCCCGTGCCTCAGTTTCCCCACCTGTAAAACAATGGGGTAATGCTGATCTACTTCACAATAGCTGTGTGATAATTAATATTTGTAAAGTAGCTCTAAAATTATTGCCTTATAATAATTGCTGCTTTTTATTAGGTTGAACCCAATTTTATTATTTATTTATTGTATATTTTAAACCTCATGATTTTGGGGGGGGGCCTTACTCGTGATTTTCTTTCCCAATGCTTGGCATTGGCAATGCTGAGTTAGCTTTATAGGGTGGTTTTGGAATGACTTATCTCGTTCTGGCCACCCACTACTTCATAGTTTTTATTCCCAGTTATGGTCCACCCCCCGCCCTTCGGTATTACAGGCCCATCCAATGCAACCTCTGAGGTCAATGGAGGGCAGCCCTTCTCTTCTTGAACATGTGTAAGTTAGAAGGAATACCAATCCTGGGATAACATGGAAACTCCCTGGCTCTCCCTCTCTTATCTTTGCTCCAGTCAGAGTGAGGTTCGGGAGCTCTGGACTCGTCTTCGGAAAGAACGGCCAGATCTCTTGGCCAACTTTGAGGAGTTCCTGTTCCATGTTTCATCGTATATCAGGGAGGTACATTATGAGAAGGAATCCATGGAGCAGGCACTAAAGAGGTAAGAAGGCCTCCATGGCAGCTGGGAATCCGCTGGTACTCATTTAGATGCAACCTGACCCGTTGCCTTATCCCAAAACACAAGGAGAAATGGGAGGAGGCTGGGATTAAGGAGGAAAAGACTTCTGTGCTACATATAATGCTGCATTGACTCTCTTAGCCCATTCCCTCCAGATTTGGCATTAACGTCTAGCCAGAGTCCTAGCTCCAACTTACGTGGTTTTCTCCTTGCAGAGAGGAAGGATGGTCTAGTGATTAGGGCACCAGCGTAGGACTTGGGAGACCTCTGTCATTGAATTCCTGTGTGACCTTGGGCAAGTCATGTGCCTCAATTCCCCATCTGTAATATGGGGATAATCATACTGACCTACCTCACAGGAATGGTGTGGGGATAAATACTTTATAGATGGTGAGATACTCAGATACTATGCTGATGGAAGCCATATTAAGTACCTAAGATGGATGACTCTAATAAATAAAACTGTGTGCAAATAAATATGCTCCCATGGATCTCCAGTGGCCATGGAATCCCTTATCAGTGCATGTGAGCCCAGGTGCTTGGGAATGGGGCAATACCCATAAGCTATTAGTGTGGATTCTAAATTAAATCTGTATCCTCCTATTTGAGAGAGAAGATTTCCCACTCCCTCTCCTTCTTTATTTATCCTTGTTTTCCTTTCACATTCATTCTCAGTCTCCCTCCATCACACACTCTTTCTCCTTGGTAGGAAGGAGACAGACCATGACAGAGAAGTCAGGTGTCTTTATGAAGAAATGGAGCAACAGATCAAAGCGGAAAAGGAACGACTGCTCTGCCAGGTAAATCCTCCCTACATGTGCTCAGTTGGGCATGCATTTTGATTCTTAAATGAGGCAAATATTTGGTTTCCTCTACATTTGCAAGGGAGATGACTCTATTGCCTCTGCTCCCCATGTGACTTCTTTTGAAATCTTCAGTAGCTTTGTTCTTCTACTGGTGCAAGGGTCTATGTTAGCTGGAGGAGATTTGGCCAGGACACTCCCTGTTGCAGTGCTCATGGTGTATCTCCACACAGAACCTCAGTTAATATGCTCTGGCACTTACAACAGCTACAGCCTAATCTGGGCTTCATTTTTTATCTCCGCCTTGTTGGGAGGTTGTGGTCTCTGCTCTCAAGGGGCCTGAAGAACATCCTCTTGTTTTCAATGCAGAAGATGTTAATTGTGAAGTATCCTTTTCCCATCTGTGATATTAGTCAGCTTGAGAGTGGCTATTGAGATTTCATTTGATCAGGGAGAATTTAGCATCCAGGAAGACTATAAAGACAACCAGAAGCATCTTCTAGAAGAACTGCTGTGTGTCTTCTGCCCTGCCCTGCTCTTCTATGAGCAACTCCCCTGCAATGAGGCTGTTAGAAGAAAGGGATGGGTGTTCCTTGTAAATCTTCTTCAGTGCGAGGCAAAAAATAGTTCAATCCTTGAAGGGGCCGTTTAGGGATCTGGGGCAAAAATCTGTCTGGGGATTGGTCCTGCTTTGAGCAGGGGGTTGGACTAGATGCCTCCTGAGGTCCCTTCCAACCCTGATATTCTATGATTCTATTCTATGATTCTAAATAAATAGAGTTGGGAAATGGATGGGCCAAGGGACCGGCAACGAGCTTGGATGTTCCCCATGGAGACTCAACCACCGTGTGGGAAACTGGCTTCAATACAAGGCTTACTGGAGAGCCCTAGAACTTTCCTGTCTCTGAAGCAGGAGGGGGTTGTGCTGGGTCATTTAGCAGCAGGCTCCTGGGCAGCAATGATATTCTGTTCCCTGGTATTGGGAAATGTCATTCCAGGGATCTGTGGACAGTATCAAAATCTGTGGGTCTTTCCTCTGTGCAGGAATCACTGAGGCACAACAGGAGCAACCTGCTGCAGAAGGAGCTGCGCAGCAAGGAGCAGGAGCTTGAGAAAATCCTCTACCGGCAGAAAAAGGTAACCTGGCCCAGAGCCTTCCTGAAGAAACAGGCACCCTACAGTGTCTTCCTTTAATTCCTTTTTAACTGCCCTTGGCAACCCTGAAAGCTACCTCCCTGCTCCTGAAGTCGTGCTCAGAGTGGGCGATAATTGGCTGCATTGCACCAGACAGTCCAGTTCCTTCCTACTGCTCCAGCAGGGCTCTGCCCTGAGCATTCTTGCTGGTTACCACAGTTCATTTAAAAATGCTACTATATTCATTTCCCATCCGTCCTGGAATCTTTTCTTCTTTCTGCAGGATAATTTACAATAAAGTGTGTGTGTGTGTGTGTGTGTCCTTCCACAATTCTGACCAGCAAAGCCGTGCTGTAGAAGCAATTCATGCATGGGCACACCAGCAGCAATTCCCCTTAACTGCTGTGGTTTGCGTTTTCTATCTCCTTCAGAATAACTCGTGGAGTAAAATGCTGCAGCTGGATTTTAAAAGCGTTTGGATAATTTTATGCTACTTCAGTTGTATGTGCTGAAATTGGGGTGTTCCTGTCTCGTTCTTCACAGCGGGGTAATCAATAGGAGGACCATGGGCCGAATCCAGACTGCAAGATACTTTGAATGGACCCCGAAATCTTTTTATTTGCTCATTATTATCATTATTGTTGTTTTTTTATTAGTACACCTCTACCTCAATATAACGCTGTCCTCGGGAGCCAAAAAATCTTACCGCGTTATAGGTGAAACTGCGTTATATCGAACTTGCTTTGATCCACCGGAGTCCGCAGGCCTCCCCCCCCCCCCCCCGGAGCACTGCTTTACCGCATTATATCCGAATTCGTGTTATATCAGGTTGCGTTATATCGGGATAGAGGTGTATTATTTTCTCTGGAGTCTGGACCTTGACTATACCTTGACCAAGAAATTTATACCTTGACAAAAAATAGACTACCCCTGCTTCACGGTATTGGTTGATCGCCCACAGGGCCAAGAAGGAATCTTCTCACCTGTTCATGTACCTTCACAAGTGACCATGTGCATTATGGTGGCCTTTGCTTTCCTCTGAAGCATGAGTATAGGAGGTGTTGTGGTCGTGCCAGCAGTGTCCTAGATTGGGAGTTGGGATGCCTGAGTTCTATACGCAGTTCTGGTGCTGATATATGTGACCATGGGTAATTGACTTAATCTCTCTATAACTCACATACTTGCCTTCCTTTGCAAAGTGGTTTGAGAGCTATGGATTTAAAGCTCTCTGTGAAAGTTTATACCAGACCAGATGGACCATCAAAGCAATCTAATATGGTAAATCCCATACTGAGATGCATGCAAATCTCCTGTGTTGCTTCAGACTATATGTATTCCATTCTGTCATGATGTAGCTTTCTTAACCAGGAGCATGGGCTTAACCCCAAGCATATCTACTAGCCTATCAGAGGACTCAGTGGTACTGGGCCAGCATTCCTACATTCTTCTCTCATAGGCTTCTGATGTTTGACTTCAGCCACCAAAAATAGGGGATCCCACTTTAATTTAGACCAACCTCCCACTCACAAGAGGTACTAGTGCTCTGTGACCTACAGGCACCAAATGCTGGCCTGACTCCAACACTGCTATAATCCTAGTTTTAGCCAGCTGGTCCCCTTTCTATCAAGATAAGGAAGGGCAACTGTGTTTACTCTTCCTCGTTATTGTATGGCTACGTCATCTTAAAAGAGCGTAGTGAAGAAATAAGTGCTCTGGGTCATGTAACGCTATGCTGCTTAGGTAATCGTCGTGTCAATATTTGCATTGGGTGTGCTCAGCTCCTTATACGATGAATGATATCGTTCTGTATGTAAACTGGATGAGAGGGTCTTGCTTTGATCTAATGTCCTGTGATGAGGACTTTCTAAAGTGGTGTCATGAGTAGTAGCCATGTTCTTCAGTGCCTATTAGATCTGTGCCCTTCCCCTCTCTGCCCCCCCCTACCGCCCCGTGCACACACAGTAGGTATGTGTATCGGGGTGGGGATGGAGAATAGAGTCCCAGGGCCAGATCCTCAGCTGGTGTAAATTGACATAACTCTACTGACTTCAGTGGAGTTGGGCCCACTTATGTCCTCTGTGGATCTGGCCCCAAATTTCGCACTGCTTCAAGGGCCATGCTCTTACTGAATGACCTTGGCTGGCAACAGCATTATGACAAAGCACTGTGCATCTTACGTTAGGCATCTATTACAGTTCCTAATGCTGAGGTAAAAATACAGGGGAGCCTCACTCGCTTCCACGTGATAAATGAGATGGTAAGCAAAACGTGCAAAGTGTTTTGAAAAAGGGGCAAACAGTGAGATGGCAAAATTTGCAAACGATACAAAACTACTGAATGTAGTTAAGTCCAAAGGAGACCGCGAAGAGTTACAAAGGAATCTCACAAAACTGGGTGACTGGGGAACAAAATGGCAGAATAAATTCAGTATTGATAAATGTAAAGTAATGCACATTGGAAAATGTCCCAACTATACATATAAAATGATGGGGTCTAACTTAGCTGTTACCACTCAAGAAAGATCTTGGAGTCGTTGTGGCTAGTTCTCTGAAAACATCCACTCAATGTGCAGCAGCAGTCAAAAAAGCGAACAGAATGTTCAGAACCATTAAGAAAGAGCTAGATAATAAGACAGAAAATATCATAATGCCACTATCTGTAGTACACCCCGCACCTTGAATACTGCGTGCAGTTCTGATCACCCCACCTGAAAAAGTATATATTAGAATTGGAAAAGGTACAGAGAAGGGTAACAAAAATGATTAGGGGTATGGAACAGCTTCCATATGAGGAGAAATTAAAAAGACTGGGACTTTTCAGCCAAGATGATTAGCCAAGATGGTCAGGGATGCGACCCATGCTCTGGGTGTCCCTAGCCTCTGATTGCTAGAAGCTGGGAAAGACCGACAGGAAATGACTCACCCAATGATTGCCTGTTCTGTTCATTCCCTCTGAAGCACCTGATATTGGCCACTGTTGGAAGACAGGATACTGGGCTAGCTGGACCATTGGTCTGACCCAGTATAGCCGTTATTAGGTTATTTCCAGAACCGGGATAGATATTATCTATGAATAAAAGTGAGAGATACTTCTCTGGTTGCTCTTTCAAGCTCACCCATCTAGGGGTTTCATAGATTCATAGATTCTAGGACTGGAAGGGACCTCGAGAGGTCATCGAGTCCAGTCCCCTCCCCTCATGGCAGGACCCAATACTGTCTAGACCATCCCTGATAGACATTTATCTAACCTA